GTTGACATGTTGGGGGGTTGTTAACCAATGTCATAAAACAGTATGTGTACTGACTGTTTAATGAGAAAATATTTGTTCTGTAAGCCATCACCTGAAGTACAATAAAAAAAAGAAGGAAAGAAAGAAAGCAGTGCCGGGAGTAGAGGGCGTCCTTTGGACCAGGGTCCCTGCGCAGAGAAGCTCTTAGCCTGGGGGAACACTGAAGAGAAGAAGGCCAACAGAGAGAAAAAGCCTTCCCCCGGGGCTGATGTCCTGAATTTGGACTTTTAGCCTACTTTGACTATGAGGAAATAAACTTCTCTTCATTAAAACCATCCACTTGTGGTATTTCTGTTGTAGCAGCACTAGATGACTAAGACATGACCCAACAATTCCACTTCTATATATATATACCAAAGAGACTTGAAATCCGGGATTGAAACATGTATGCCAATGCTCATTGTAGCATTGTTCATCATAGCCCAAAGATGGAAACAACCCAAGTGTCCATCAACAGACGAATGGATAATCAAAATTACTATATACATACAATGGAATATTATTCAGCCATAAAGAGAAATGAAATTCTGATACATGCTATGACATGGATGTATTGAAAACATTATGCTGAGTGAAGAAAGTCAAACACAAAATGACAAATATTGCATGAACCCACTTATAACATATTGAGATTAGGCAAATGCCTAGAAATATAAATTTATTAGTGGCTACCAAGAGTTGGGAGGGAGAAGAAATTGGGAGTTAGGGCTATAGGGGTACTGAGTTTCTGTGTAAGGGGATGTAAAACTTTTGGAAATGGATAGTGGTGATGGTAGCCCAACATTGTGAATGTAACTAATGTCACTGAATTGTACACTTAAAAATGGTTAAAATGACAAACTTTTTTTGTGTGTGTGTATATATATATATATATATATATACACACATATATATGTTTCACCACAATAATTTTTTAATAAAACAAATAGGCTTTGTCTACAAAAACCTTGTATGAGAATATTCATAGCAGTTTTATTCATAATAGGCCAAACTGCAAACAACTCTAATGCCCATCAACTGGAAAACAGATTTTAAAAATCCACAGTAAAAAGCTTTACACTTAAAGATTTGAGTCATTTTATTGTACATAAATTTTACTTCAATTTAAAAAGAAGTTGAATGACCTGGAGATGATGAGCAAAGGATCTGGGGATGACTAGACATTGGTGTACAATATAAATTAATATCAGGGGAATGTGTACTCTACCTGAATATAAAAGGTAAAAAAAGGGATATATCTTTGGAAATTTGGGGGGATACAGAAGCAGAAATGAGAGGATGAGGGATAATGGTATCACCTCACAAAAATGATCTTCACCTCACAAAATTTTTCTTTTGTTTTGTCAATTCAATTGTCTTGAGTCCAGGATTACACTTGCATATCCTGACTGAAGGAAACTCTATTTAAATTCCATATTTCTAAAGAAATAATGAACTGAGTAGTGACTTTACCTCGTGGGCTAAACTAGGACTTACCATATATGATGTTTCATGCCCTCATGTTAGAGATAGTCCTATAATCCTTTACCTTTCTAAATCTACTCCTTCTTTCTGGAAATGGACAAAAGAGAAGCTCTGACAAACTAATTCTTCTGCATGCCCTTTTGGGCAGTGTAGCTGAACTGGAGATTTCTATCCAGAGAGGCCCAGCCTGGGTTAAGACAAAAAGAAGGAGAAAAGCTGGGGGAACTGTGGTAGATGGAAAGAGATCCAGCAAGTACCTGAGTATGAAGAAAACAGATTGCTGTTGAGGATGTACTAAATATGAAACCAGGAAAATTGGAAGTGATCAAAAATGAAATGGTTCACATAAACACCAATATCCTAGGCATTAGCGAGCTGAAATGGACTGGTATTGACCATTCTGAATCAGACAATGACATGATCTACTCTTCCAGGAATGATAAATTGAAGAGGAAGTGTGTTGTATTCATTGTTAAAAAGATCATTTCAAGATTTATCTTGACCTATATGTAAGACCAGTTAATATGACTATTATTCCAATTTACCTACCAACCACTAAGGCCAAAGATGAAGAAATTAAAGATTTTTACCAATTTCTGCACCCTTAAATTGATCAGACATGCAGTCAAGACACATTGATAATTACTGGTGATTGGAATGTGTAAATTGGAAACAAAGAAGGATTGGTAGCTGGAAAATGTGGCCTTGGTGATAGAAACAGCATTAAACATCAAATGATAGAATTTTGCAAGACCAATGATTCCTTCATTGCAAATATCTTTTTTCAACAGCATAAATGGTG